CCTTCCAAAGTGGACAAACAAGTCATGCAACCTACGTGCACAAAAAAGAAAAAATATAAATATATATATATATATATGGTACCCAAAAAAGACTAAGGTCCAAAAGGCAACCAAAAATAGACATCTGGCTATTTTAGATCTAATGGAATTCAAACTTGAATCTAAATTTGAATCTGCAACGTGCTTCTAATTCAAATAGAAAATAATCCTAATTAAACTTTATATATTTGAAAGCAAATTGAGATTGCAAATTAGATCTAGTTCAATTCTAATTGAACTTGGATTCCAATTTAGTTCTAAGTCAATACTATTCTACTAACCAAGCTCTAGGTAAAACAACTCTAATTCAATTCTACCTTAGTTCTAAGTCAATTTCAATTTAAGTAATGGATTATTATTCAATGTTTTTTCTTTCAACTCTAATTTAATGCCAGTCTACTTCTAATTTAGTTCTATTTCATTCTATTTTGGGTTCAATTGTAACTTTGACTCTTCCAATTTACTAGTAATTAATTTCTAATGTTAATGCCTTTATACGGTTCAGATTCAATTGTTTTACACACCTAATTTTACACTATTGTCATTGCAAATTAGGTTTGGTGTCTATATGTCTAATTTCATCCTATTTTAATTCTAGTTCAATGCACATGGAATTCTAGTTCAGTTTTGGTGTCATTCTAGAGAGTGGGTGTTGCTGGTGGTGAATCTAATTCATTTAAGGAAGCACATGCTTCTATATTGGAAAAACTACATAAAATCTCTCATGTTCAAAGCAACACCACTTCTCTAGAAGTAAATGAGAATTTCACTCAAATTAAAACTAAATTGAAAAAAAATACACTATTAGAATTAAATCTGACGTGTATAGCAATGAAGTTAGAATTAGCTTGAAATCAAATTAAAGTTAGGCTTGCATTGAACCCCAAGTAAATTAGAATCTATAGTCATAGACCTTTGAATCAAAATAGAATTTACAAATAATTGAAATAGACTCAAATTTTGAATTTGAATATACAAAGTAGAGTAGAGTTGAATAGATTGGAATTTAAGTTCAATTAGAATTAAACTGGAATTTAGTTATTTAGGGTTTGCAATTCTTTGCCTTCTGATTATGATGTACTTGCTCAACTGCATTCAATAAGAGCAGTACAATTCACACCCTAAAAACAAGACATATGGTTTTGCATGGAGTTGCAATGAATTAGATTACTCCATCCAAGAACTGTTTAGTAAACACATAACCTTATGGATTTGGACATTTTTGTTGTATATACATAGTTAAATGAACAAATATGCTTACCAACAGCACACCAGCACTCAGAAACATAGGTGTTTTTTTTTGGGCGGGCTAGCATATATATATATATATGTGTTAAACAGTTTATCACAATCCCGACACACATCCCCACATCCCTCACAGTCAAAAGATTCACATTCTCAGATGATCGAAAGGCTTACTGCTCAACGGGATTTCCCAAAGTGAACGACAGGAAACTCCTGTGCCCACTGTGATGTCAGCGACCAAACCTTGCCAGATCGAGGTTCTGACTAGTCCTCATTGGGTCTGACTGGTGACCAGTCCTTTCCCATTGATGAAGACAAGATATGCTATATACCAGCACCACGGAGTTTGATCGTTATTGGAGGGAAAATGCATCCTCGGTGTCAAAACAACCACCCGAACTCTGTGGTGTCTGGTCAATGGACAGGTTTGCCAAGAGACACATGCACCGGTGTGTGCTTACGTGTCTTCGATGTTGGGAACAGCTTCGTTTGGTGTTTTCCTCCTCGTTGCACCCCCCCATCGTTGCTGTCGAGACACGGCTCCACCACCGTGTCCGAGACCTTGGGCGAGGGAATCACGGAGAAGGTCTCCATGATACGATCCGGGTACCTCGGAGGGGCACCGCGAGAGCGGCGGAGAACACGCGCGAGAGCGGCGCGTAGGTAGTTCGCCTCAAGAAGGACTCCTCTTGAATTCACGAAGGGATGCAGGGTGTCACTCTGGTCACCTTTCGCTCACACCCCCACCAATTCCCAGCATCTCTGCTCGTCCGATATCAGTGATGGTCAAAGGTGGCGGCACCTATTGGTCGAACAAGCAGCGTACGGGAGCGAAACATTCCTTCGTAGGTCGAACCGGAGCGAGCCTTCCGGAGCAAGTTTCGGAGCCCACGTCGCGTCCGCGTCGTGCACGGGCGAAGCGGCTAGGACGCGGCGGAGACCGAGGTGCTCTTCTCGCACCTTGGAAATCAAGAGTGTTCCCATGCCGGCGCCAGTGCCACCTCCGAGAGAATGGCACAGCTGGAAGCCTTGCAAGCAGTCACATCCCTCCTCGGTGTTCGAAAAAAACTAGAATCATGGAACTCCAAAATGATCACGAGTGACACGAGCAAAATGCCGGGTTATATCCCAACAAAGCGTATGACTAATGGCAGTGAAAAGGTTCAGCTTCTTTACGGACGACATCCAAGACGGAGTCAATCAACTCGGCTCCCTCAGTGTAGTGCCCCTTCGCCTCAAATGCCCAACGCAAGTCTGGCGAACGAGTTGACTATGCCTGTTTAGTCTTCTGACTGTACACAACGGAAAAGAAACATGTCAACACATCCAATTTCGACCCATCAAAGCCTCTGCAAAGTCGCAGCAACACATAAAAGAAGACGTCAAATACTTCTTGATCATGCCATCCCATGCTGTGTCCTAGGATTTCTTGTGCATAGCATCTCCCTCACACGTTCTTTGTTTTCACTCAGTACCGGTCACCCAGTTGTTTCCAGCACCGGTCTGGCCGAACACAAAGTTGTCTGGGCGGAACAGCTGACCAAAGGGCCCCGCACGAACACTGTCCATGGTGCCTCCGGATCGATGGGTCGGCGACAGCGGCTCAGGACCGATCAGGTCTAAACGGCCCAATTCAGAAGTGTTGTTGACACCGGGTCCTAGGAAGTGTCCTGGACAACCACCGAGTTTCCATTGTATATTGCTTTATTATGTTTGAATAGTTTTATATAGTAGATATATTCTGAATCACGGCAATGGCTTCAAGATTCTTTACAGTCTGCGAAACTGCAAAACCTATATAACAGCTTTCAAACCTCAAGGTTTATATAGGAATCTCATACCACGGTATATGCACAGGAACATGACAAACCCTTTGCTAGAATCGCGCCCATCTGATGCAATGATGCGCTTGTTGGTGTATGCGTGTGAGAGACCCTTTTCCAGCCTGGCTCGAGATCCATCAGCACTGCGCGTGGCACATACCGTCCACCGGTTGCCTCGTTGAAATAGACGTTAATGCGCTCCTCAGTTTGGCCGTCTGCTATCCGCTCACCAGAAAACTGCCCCAACATAGAACCTGTTTTGTTCGGATCCACAGTCGAAGTTTCTGATTGCTCCGTCCCTTGATCGCCGAGCTTCAAGCTGCAAATCAGAGTCGCCGTGATAAGTTCCTCGCACCGAGCGCGAGTTGCGAAACGCACAAGGTCAATGCGTTGCACAAAGTCCCGTGTTTTTTGGACTTGTTTTTTTTCCCTTTTTGTTCCTCCGCACAAGTAATCAATTCGATGCCTATGTGAGACCCACCTCTTGGGACTCCTCAGTTTGATGATTTGATATCCTTCATCCAATCTGTTCTATTATATTGTAAGACAGAGGAGAATCAGAAGACTTATTACATATAGTTGTACAAATCTTCTTAAATCTGCTGGCAAATTGTTGCCATCTCATCCTGTTGGGTCAATGCCATGCTCGTCAGCAATGACCTCCCAGAACTTGGCACCGATCTGGTTGCCTCAGTTCACGAAAGTTACAAAATCACACATGTGCCTTGTCCCCTTGTCATTTCGCAAGTTTAGATCACCCACCCGGGGCGGTCTCTGGACCCGGTAAGCGGTCCGCTTCGACCGGTCAGAAACGAAGCAACCGACCCGAGTCCGAGTCCGACCGATGATCCGACCGAGTGACTCGGAACCGGTTGAAGCTGTTGGCATTGCAGTTTTCCCGTTTGAAACCTGTTTTTCTTTCCGTTCCAAGTTGGCGCCATGAACATATTGAAGATATTTAAAGTCTTCGAACGAATCGGAAAACATCCACATGTCAAAAAGGGTCCCAAAGCTGGTGCATGTTCTGAAATCACTTCTCAGCTATGCTGCCACGTGCCCAAGGATATGGCTACCGTTCCTGGCTATGTTCATTTGGATTCATTTGGTGTATGTGAATGTTTCCCTGGATTCACCTTCATATTTTTTCTGAGTTGCCGCACTGTCCTCCCTGAACGTGCACGAGCTCGCGCATGGCTTCGAGAGAGAAGTCAAAGTTAGGCGCAGACTGCTTCGAGTATGCTTGAGGGCTAAACAGCCACAATGAACCGGACAAGTTCACACATGTTCACGTCCAGACGTGTTTTTGCCATATCTTCAGCTCATCCCTGGCCATTCTCTCGGACAACCAGTCATAACTCTCAACATCCGACTTTCAAGTTCGTGTTGGCACAGAAAGGCCTTTCAAATTGAGAATGACGAGAGCAAAATGAAGCAAGCGCATGGCCCAACATCCAGCCAATGGCCCATCACCTCCGGATCCAGCAAAGTCCGATTTCCCTTCAGTCAGGACTGACCCTTCACACCAAACAGTTCACTGAGGTGTCAGTGGATTCTGTGAATCAAAAAGAAGCCTCGTGCTCTACTCGACTGCTTTCATTTCTGAAGCCTGGTGGTCCACCTACTCCACGTCCACCTACCACGACCCGTCCCGACTCCCCTTCCTCGCTCGTCTTCCTCGCTCCCACCGGTCACCGGTAAAAGGACGGATGCCCAGCGACGCCCTCGGCGATCTTCGTGGGGATGGGGAGCCAGCAGAAATAATCCTGACGGAAGGGAGAAACACGGATCGGATCGATGGAGCTCAGCCTGGTTACACTGAACAGCAATACGACACTGACTAGGACCAAGGCCGCAATACAACAGAATTCAGCCGTATACAGATGTATACAGAACATAAACAGGACAGGTACACAGGAGATGAAGGGAGCAAAAGTGTCTCAACTTACATTCAGCTTGGTGTGATATCTCTGACCCTCGAAACATACCTCAAACACCACACACCTCTCTTGAGGTTTGGATTCGGATCCCAGCTTGGAGGATACCCCTTGTGTTTCTTCCCATCTCAGGTCCTCGAAGTGGAAGTGTTGCGCCATCGAGAGCGGCTTCTTTCGCTCCTGGACGTCAGCAAATCGATGGGCCCTTCCACCGTTGAATCTGATGGCCTCCAACCTAGAAGCGATGGCCACCCTCAGCGCGAAAGGACGATGGACGCTCTTTGGCAAGTTCCGATGTTGCCTGAAACCGATTTGGAATCTGAAGGAAAACGAAGCATGCAGCATGTGTGTAGCCGTTCATTGATACGAGCACGGAAACACGCACAGGAAAAGATAGAGAAATAAAGCTAGTGATGAAACCTGGGAAATCATGGACACTCCGCAGGGTACATATTATGAGGACAGCTTGCTCTTGTGGTTTCTAGGTCATTTCATGTCATTTCTGCGCAAATCAATGGAACAGTGGGTGGCTGGAAACGACCGAAGCGGGGTGAACGGAGTGGGTTTCGCCACCCATCGGCCGACTGGGAAAGGTCCTTGGCGTACTCAGGCCGGCTCAAGGAGATGCGCGCAAAGACCCTGAAAGGATCGGGAATGGTGTCGATCGCGCTCTGGGGCGTGACTTCTCAAATTGCGACAAAGGGTGCAAGACAACTTATCAAGCAGACTTGGTTCTAAGTCAGAAAGCACTCTTTCGAGAAATTGGAGGGGCTCGAATGGCCAAAAGACAGGGAAGAGCAACAGATGGCTACGAATACGAGTTGAATCCCGGTCTGTGGAGAAGGTCCAGGTCTGTCAAGGGCAAGAAAGCATCTTCCCCAAAAACAACGTCCAAACGGACATGTCTTCATCATTCATCCACGAGCTCCCCAGACCCTCACTGCGCACCCCGCGCCTCCGCAGGGCTCCTCGCTTGTTCTCACAAAGCTCGAAGCTGGTTTGCGCACCCACCTCACCAGCTCTCCGCATCACGAAAGACCACGAGAGACCAAGGTAGGGCTGCAGGGCGAGGCTCAGGGGATTCAGGTGAGACCACGGGACGGTCCGGAACATCGCCTAGGATGCAGGAGATGTCCTAGGAGGAAAAACATGTCCTGTGCTGTGATATGGGGAGTTTCTGGCTCGAACCATGTGTGCCCCTTTAAACAAGCGTGCCTTGAAGCACACAGGTCGAAATGGCGACACAGGTCCCAGTACCTTCTTTGTGAGGAGATGTCCTTTTAGAGCACTTTGGATCTTGGCCATCTTCCCCGCAAATTCATCCTCAACACCAAAACAAGCATGTGAACGCGCCAAAAAATCTCATCGCAGCTTGCCGTCTTTCCCTCTCTGCAGCGTCGAAGAGTTCTTTCCCCGCCAGAAGGCCGCCCTTCTCACGGGCGCTCACCACCTCGATCGAACAGTCAACGGAGCGGCGCGCTCGAGCGGTGCGCAACTCTGCCGTTGGATTCGCCCAACACGACGGCGCTTTTGGTACAGTAAGATTGGTAGCGTCCTTGCTCCTAGTAGCGATGCCAGGAGCCCCTAGTAGCGTCCTTGTTCCTAGTAGTAAGGCCAGGAGCCCCTAGTAGGACACGTATAGCATAGTGCCAGGTCACCTATTTGCACGGGAGAAACCGGTTCGAATCTCTGAGAGGGTGTGCCTGTAGCTGTCAGCCCTCCGCTGTAGAGTGTCCGTTCTGGGTGAACTCACGGCGTTACGTGGGCAGGTTCTTGTTGCCGGAAGCACGACAAACATCCTGGGAGTGAAGCATGCTCTTTGGGACTTGGGAGTACTTGATCAAAATCTTCGCAGTAATAGTTTGATCTTTAGTGAAAGCCTTCTTCAGTTGCAAACAAGTTACGTCATGAAAGAAAAGACAAATGGGTTCTAGGATATCTACAGTAGGTAAATCATCCCCCTACTAAGCAACGTCTCTTGTGCTACATCAGTGGCTGGGAGGGTAGACCTATCCAAGTATGGCGACAAACAAAGGACCGCTACACACCTTTGCAACATATTCTCACTCCACCGAACATGGAAGTGTACACCTCGTTTGTACCATCCACCAAATCCACTCCATTTTCGCGAAGCAACAGCTACGATTCATGGTACCAAATCCCCAAATCCCGAAACCCTTGAGGCACATGGACTTCTTGATCTCACCCGTTCTCAGTTGTCCAGGCCGCTGCGTTCAGCATGATCCGGTTCAGCGCCCGACCTTTTTTTCTCGTCCGTCTCTCCCAGGCCAGGTGGATGGATCTGGTCCAACCCCGGGAGGTGATATGAACCAGTGAATCAGCAGTGATATCTTTCCAAAATAGAAACAAAAAACAAACCCCCGCTGATCGGCGAGAAGGGTCTCTCCCAAGCCACCTCTCTTGGTTCTTCTTGCTATTACGGATTGGAGCTCACCACCGCGAGTGACCAAGCGCCAAAAACCAACCGATCTCCCTGAAGAGCTTGGTCGACAGGAGTTGTTGCTCGACAGCCCAGGTGGAAGACACAAGTGCCAATTGGGTCTGGTGGGGTCCGTCTCCGAAGGGAAGATGTTCAGGATCAAAGATGACCTTGACAGATCCTGCTCGGCCCAACATAGGGGGTTCGGAGCGGCCCACGAAAGCCTGTTTGAAAACAAAAGACAGGCCATGTCGGGCTTTGGCAGAAGGGCCGTCCCTGCTAAAATGAACTGCTGTCTTCTTCCCGACAAGACAAACATCGAATGGCCTCGTATGGCCTCATGTTTTGCTTTCGATCGCTGCAGGGACCTGCACCCATCTGGTGATGTACGCCATCGACTCGAACCTCGGAGACCATTTTGGTTCGGGGATAAACTGATCTAAACAAGCTCACCAAGCTATTGTTTGTCACGATTTGGTACTGACCATCTACCATCAATATGTGGACTTAACTGTACGGACTGTACGTACCAAAAGCAACCTAACTGGCTCGTCCTATGATCCACCTGGATTCTTATAGTTCGCCGTAAAACCTCCAACGTTAGACGTCATGGCCTTTCCTTCGAACCGAGCTGCTGTTGAACATGGCCATTTCCAGCAAGAGCACTTGCTCCCAGGCACCGGCCCTGAGCGTCGAACGGGCTGCCGCGACGGCAGCCGCGGGCTCCCGCGGAAAAGACTCCGAGCAGCTGGGATGTTGAACGAGGGCTCAAAACAGCTGCTCAATGTTTGCTAGTTTGGTTAAGGTCGGCTGTTGATCAGGTGGGTTGTTGATTGAGACTGAGATAGAATGTCGCGATTGCTTGGAGATGTCAGCCTCTATTGGTAGATCAGTATAAGGTATGTCAAGCAATATATAATATGACCATCCTCTCAGTTCATGTTCTATGCTGAGGATGACTATAAATGAGCATGAATCTTTTTTGGCAGACTTTCAACTTCCTCTATGTCTGATCAAAGAGCCAGACCCCACCCAGCCAGAACTTCGCAACGGAAGTTCCAGGTTTCTTGCTCATTTACCACCGGATCTAGGATTGCGTTTGAAGATGCACCTGCTATTCTTGCAGATTTGGGAGGTCAGGTCTGTCCACAGACTTCAAGCCGTACATCAAAGCCAGAAGAAACTCATCTGTACTTTGTAGGATTAGAAATGAAGTGATCCAACCCCCTCTATTGCCTCACTCCCTTTCGGGCAGGTCGTCTTTCCAGGCTTATCACTCGAATCCTGTCCTCTTCATCACCATGTTCACAAAATGGCAGCCAGGAGCGCATCAACTGGAGGTGCTTCAAGTTTCGTCTGGTACAGTAGATGAGGGATTGCTGGACTCCTCTTGCTTCATCTGGAGTTTTTTGAGGATACTCGGTCTGTGTACCAAGCTTTTCCAGCCCTGAGAATACACCGAAAATTGAGGTGATCTTGGCTGATAGTTTGGCCAGTGGCTAGAATAGCCCTACAGACCCAAACACCCACACAAGACTGCGTCCACCCCGAAGCTGCCTTTCTGCGGCTTAGCAGCCGCTCACAGCCCGCCACCGCGCTGTGGCAACACACAGCCGACCGCAGGACGCGGGTCGCCGAAAGCGTCGCTGAAAGCGCAGCGGACGAAAGCGCGGCCCGCGCGGCGCGCCAGCGGCCGACGGAGCTCAAGGCGTTCAGCTGGGCGCCGTAGCCATTGAGGTCGGAGGGAGGCCTGGTGGTGCCACCAACTGGGAGACTTGGTGGTGGGCTGTTTGTTGAGGGGTGCAACCAAATTAGGCTAAATCTTGAATAACTTTTAGCTATGTACTAGGTCCACCAGATGGAGAGAAATGGTCCGTAGTCTTTAGAAGGGGATCGACCGAAAATCAGCCAAAGACAGGACAGCACAACCTTCGTGCGTTCGCCTCAATCCTGCTGTTAGTTACCACAAAAGAAAGTATGGATGCATCTTCGTGCCAAGTATGGATGCATCTTCGTGCCACAAGACTGAACTCACTCAACATCAAATCAAGCGGAGGTGTGCTGCGCATCCAAAACATCCATGGTCACGATACATCGTTTTCCTGAGACCGTGCCACAAATGTGGAAAATAGATGAGCATAGAGACAGGTAGGGGAAGTAAGTCTCCGGATCGATTGGACCCTGTTCTTTATAGGTTCTTCGCCTCCTTTTCCCGAAAATCCAAATCCTGTCAGCTGAAGAAGCGACTACCGAGGGTGCTCACCGAGGCGCATCTCCAGCGCCCACCTCGGAGCCGACGGGTGCTTCGGTCCGATCGATGGGTGCGCCAAGCAGGTCACGATTAGGTCACTCTAAATCCCCAAAAGTTTGCTATGGAGAGGAAGCTACTAGGAACAAGTGCCTTACTAGTAGTAACAAGAAGCTATTAGGAACAAGTGCCACGCTAGTAGTAACAGGTGCCTTACTAGTAGTAACAAGAAGCTATTAGTAACTTTGTGACTTTGTGTGCTGATCACTTCAAAAAACACACTTCCGACCCAGGGACACAGACCTGCTGCTCCAGCTCGTTCCGCAGATCGCTCCGTGTGAATACCTTATTTACTATATACAATCACTTGCCAAACACAACATGATCCTCCACACTAACCTAAGACAAACCAACAATCCAAAACAACTCAAAAAGAAACCCCTGCACACTGGATACGTTTCAATACAATTTCTGTTCCTTTCGCACCATCCGCCCTCTCCCCAATTTCCCGCTCCATCTCGCCTCCATTGTTGGCCATCCGCCCAAGCCTTCAGCATCGCGCTTTGCCCCACCGCCTCGGCCGCGGCGCCCTGCTGCGCCTGCTGCGCCCACACCGCCTGCGCCAGCGACCAGGCGCTCGGTGAAGGACCGGACGCAGTGGTGGAGGTCAGCGCGCCGTAGGTGATCAAGGTGCGGCGGAGGCCTCGGTACGGTCGGCCGGGACTGGTGTAGCCAAACAAGAATCTAGACGCGCGGCCTGGTCTCGGAGTTAATTATTCAGAGTCTGGGCATCCCGGAATAAAATATTCAGAGGTTTGTGCTATGAATCCTAATTGTTTGTTTTTAGCTGTTGATATTGCACCGTGAATTGTAAAGTTGGCATAGTGCAAGGAGCCTAGTGCGAACATTCTTGAAGGGATGGAATGATTGCGCGTGGCTGTCTTCAATTTTCAATCCAGGTGCTGAATGGCGCCCTGGAAATCCAGGGGGCGCTAGCAATGTGGCATTGCCGGCGAAGCTTCACAATCTCCGTTTGGGATACAATGGTGATTGCAAATGTTGACATGCTCAACCCCAAGCTGTTCGGCGCCACAAGATACATTCGTAGCCAGCATTGGCTTAGGCTGAAACTGCACCTCCCCTACACGCAGATCGTTTAAATTCTTGGGGCCGTGTGCACATCTTCTCAAAGAGATGTCCAGAAACCTCGCCTAGTAGAAGGCAAACATCGAAAGGACAGCACAAATCAAGCTCAAAACCAAGAGTGGGGCGCTATGAAACTTACATACAAATTTAAATTGCTGTCTACTTTCTGTGTGAAAAACTGTTTGGTTTTTCCTGTTTGGCCAGGTCAAAGGGCATGAACGCATGGCAAATCACACGAGCAATGTGAATCATGTTCTTTCGAAACGTCGGCCTGGTTTCCTTTTCTAACTATTTGGGGACAACTTGAAGGAGTTGCAGCTACCGCCTTTGCACGCACTATGCCATCTTTAGTCTGAATGTATTGGAACTGATGTTAGATCTAATGTTTCAATCTCGCCAACAAGCTGCCCCTTAGAGTTGGCCAACCCAAGTCAATTTTGTCGCGCCGAGTACCCTAACCAGCCTATCGCAGGGTTTGCTTTTGGCAAGGAGGCAAGACAAAAGCGGAAACCAACCTCACAAGACAGACCAATACTGGGCCAGAACCATGCTGGAGCGTTCAGGGGGACACAGGCTAAAACCACCACCAGGTGAGAGACATGTCAGGTGCAGGTGCCACTTGAGCGGCTTTCAAAACCGGCATCTGTCGTAAGATTCTTCTTACGCCACGCGATGCCACGCGCTCCGAAGGTGCAACAGTTCTTGCAAGAAGGGGCTTACGCAACACATACGCCTACGAATTTTAGCACCACACCACAGTCACAGCTTATGCGCGATCTGTTTTCCACGCAGAGTACACACAGCATTCCAGCCAAAATATTAATATATAAATATCTGGGAGAAGGAATTGGCACTTGGCAAGCACTGAGTCCAACAGAATCAATGGGTTGTGTTGGTCTTCGAAAGGGAAACAGGCTTACGCAGTGCTTACGTGGGTTTTCCGAGGTGTATGAAAGTCGTCCATATACAGTGCAAATATGTGTGAATGTGACACGAAATGTATGCTGATACTTGGGCTTGCTTACGCAGTTTACATAACTCCTATCTCCCACAAAAACCTTACGCAACCTTACGCACACCAAGGTTTTGCCTACGCGAACCATTCGTATGACAAGACCACCACTAAACATGAACAGGGAGGTTTATAGAGTTGCTCACTTGTGAACGGCATGAAAGTCTTGTTTCAACTACTCGAACATGCTCAACTCGTGTTTGGGGCGGAAAGGCGGCGGAGCCACCGAGCGCCAGTCGCTCCGAGCTGCCCGCTCGGGCGAAGAAGTGCTCGCAGGTCAGAGCCATGCGCCAGTCGCTCGAGATCACAGAGTTCACCCCAATCACATCCACCTCCACGCCGCCTCCGCTCCGCTCTGTTCCACGGTGGAGAGGAGGGTGGGTGGCACTGTTGAACCTACAGTTCGGTCACAAAATGGATCCCAGTTGCAGCTCTTTGCGGGATGGTCCCAATCTCCAAAAGGCATAGCACGTTGGAATAGCCGTCTTTCCTGAACGAAAGTGTGTAGAAAAGTGTTAACCCCAATAGCCGCACTGATTCCTCGGAAGAAGTGGTCCCGCGGACCACCCTTCAAGTGGCGACAGAAAGACGCCAGCTGCCTGTGCCCCAAGCTCCCAGCAAGGTAGGGGAAGTTGTTCAGACCCTTTGTTCGTCACTAGTAGCTTCTTGTTACTACAGGTGAAACGATTCCCAGTGAAACGATTCCCAAGGAAGCTTCTAGCTGCTAGTAGCTTCTTGTATAGCAAAAACGACAAACCCAACCCGTTTTCAATCCTTTTCAGCTCTCTTTTTTGGTTCACCGTCACCAATGGTCGGAGCAGACTGCCGCTCGGCGTTTCCTGTGTATTTTTTCGTCGGGCCGTTGGCACCTTGGAGGAAGCGATGCAGGCACTGCCAAGCCTCTGGCCATGCAGCCGAGCCAATCAGGCAGTTGGCTGTCACGGTGCTGGGTTCCACATCTGCACGGATCGGAGCTTCGGGTGCATGGTCTGGAGAGACAGGGGTAGGGCGGGGTGGTTGGAGAGAAAGGGGCAGGGGTGTTCTTAGTTTCTCTCTTGCTTGATTGGCTTTTGATCCCCCATCAGTTGGAATGTCATCCTCATCCACATATTGTCCTGGAGAAGAGAATGAATATGGCTGTTCATCTCAGAATCAAAACTCGATATGTTTGTACGTTGTGACAACTTCGCCTCTGCCAAACTACCAGGTGAAGCACGCCGGAACCCTGATGCGACCAGTATCAGCCTACTACCAAACTCCAACTCACAGAAGTGCAAACAAACCTGTTTGTGGAGGAAAAATGAGGAAAATAGTCCTCCCAAAGTCCGTTTTCCCCTTCCACGAGAGTGAGTCAGAGGGTACCACAACAAGTCTGCAGAGGAGTCTGGAACATGATTGGTTTTATATTATGTGTTTTAACCCCCCAATCGGTGTGCAACTTGGATGGCCATTATAGACTGTAAGCTGGATTTGTATCCCCTGACCGTCCACTCAACCAGCCACAAGCTGGTCTCTCTACACTTTCTGAAGCAGCCACATCACCCAAGCCCTTGCAGACCAGCGGCTGGAAGCTAAGACTGAAGGATGGGTGCATATCGCCACACGTCAGGAAATGACAGGAGTGGACTTCCAGGCATTGTTTTGCAGACCAGAAATCGTCGTTTCATATTTGCAGGTTGTCATGTTCGTGCTCGAAAAGGGATCCAAATGGTCCTCCCATCAGATCCAACTTTCCGTCTCCACTTCCCCTTTCCGTCCGCCTCGCCCTTCGAGGAGCCGCCAAAGATTTACTGCTCTTGGCCATAGATCTTCAGCGCTGTAGGCGTTCAGCAAGGCGTTGAAGGAAATGATGTCCTCTCACTCTCAGGAGTCCAGGAGTGCTTCCTAATAGCAAACATTGTTACTACTAGTAAGGCACTTGTTCCTAGTAGCGATGCACTTGTTTCTACTCTCAGGAGTCCAGGAGTGCCCAACTTTGGTTCCCATTTCCTTGGTGACATGGCCTCTCACAGGTCCGTCATTGGTGTTCATAGCCTAACCTTTTCAAAGGTGTTTTTTCCTCTCCCCGGGATGGGTTTCTGCGGTCACGGAAAGTTGGAAACGCTGCGAAGTAAGTCACTCTTTCAGGAGGACGTTCCAGGGAGGACGTTCGGTCTGTGGAACTGGAGCTGGAGCTCGGTAGAAAACCCGCCGGTGCCCGCAAAAGAAAGTCGAAAACCTTAGGCTGGATTGACAAACAGGTTCTGTAGGTGCACGCAATTAGTCTTCTTCAAACAGTTCTTTTCTCTACAAGCCCTTCAGCGCAGAAACGAAGGTAACCACCGCCGCCCCCGCTTTGCATCAAATGGGTTCTCATTAGCGAGACTCGTTGGCATGCTAACAGCCACTCCCAGCCTGTTGGATTGATCCCATCGCTGCCATGCACTCCTTAAAACCACAGGTTCTCGTCGGTCCATTTGTCACGGGGGAGGAGGTGAGTTTGGACCAAGAGACCAAGGGACCAGAGGATGACTGGAGTTTTTCTTGGTGCTTTGCTTTCTTAAGCCTTTTTTGTGCCCGCAGTCTGCAGTTGAAAGGCCCCGAAATCGCTGCAAAGCTGAAGATCTAAAGTTGCAGGAAATTCGTGGAAACTCAGAAATGAGTATAGACCCTGAAGTTCGGGGCCTAAGTCAGATTCCGCCAGCCGCCGGATACTTTAGGCGGCTGATTCCGCCAGCCGCCGGATACTTTAGGTGGCTGAGTCCGCCAGCCGCCGGATACTTTGGTGGCTGATTCCGCCAGCCGCCGGTTACTTTGGTGGCTGGCTGGCTGATTCCGCCGGCTACTTTTTAGTTGGCTGGCTGGCTGATTCCGCCGGGTACTTTGGTGGCTGGCTGGCTG